AATCGCCGATTCGCCGATCCGGATCGGTTTTTTGAAAGCCCGATCCGGGTCACCGATTCGGTTTTTAAACCATTGCTCTAACCTATTGAAGGTTGCATATTGGATGTGATTTGCTATTATTGATAAAAAATTAATATTTTAATATTGAAAAGCTATTAGCGAAATTCAATCATAAAAATAAATGTTTCATTCCACAGAATCAGAAATTAATATTAATATTCAATCCCACATGAAACCTCCTTGATTTGTTAAAATCTAATCATAAAAATCTTTCATCTTAATATATATTATTTCTTTACGAACTCAATCCCACTTCTTCCATATTATATATTATATCAGATTATTTATGCAGATCAACTCAATCCCACTTCATTTGAGTTAATGATCTCTAGGTTATAGATTACATGTATTTAAAAATTAAGTCTTAGAATCCATCTCAAAAATATATTTATTAAGAGGTTTGCATATTTACATATGTGGGCTTCGCCGCATAGAAACGGGGTCCATAATCTAATTAACATTTGAGGGACTGTTATTCTATTTAGGAACCTCCTAAAAAAAGAATTTTAGAATTTTCTAAATTGCCATTGTTCAAAGTTGGGAAGCTAGAAAAATTAAGCACATTTCAATAATTTGACCTCCTAGAGGCACTAAGGACTACATTGTCATTTGATACATGCAAGAAATTTAGGAGTCAAATAGCATAAATACCCATATTTCTTCTTCGAACCCGCATTTTTTATTTTTGACCCTCAACATGAAGGGGTATTTTCATTATTTGGTTGGGATCTCCTAGGGATAAAAAAAATTAATTGGTTGTTCAACCTTCTCAATCTAAAACAAGGGCAATTCTCAATCTAAAACTAGGGCAATCGGGAAACCTTCTAATTTTTTGTGAAGAGGTGCCTTAGTGAAATGCGAATGAAAAAGTAACCTCTCAAATGTTATTTAAAATTATTGGAGTAAGGGTTTCAACTCTTAATGATATTTTCCCATATTTCAAGTATCCATTCATTGTTTTATTCCATTCTCAATAAATGGTGGCCATATTGATGAGTGATTGATGAATGATTGTTTTGACTACTAATTGATCTCCATGGTTTCAGGGAAATTAGTATAAAAGATTGTTTTGACTACTAATTGATCACCATGGTTTCTGGGAAATTAGCATAAAAAAAGTGAGTGATTGAATGTGCTCTAGAGAATTTGTTCAAAACAGTAAATCGGAAACTGCCAGTTCAACTTCAAATTCACCCTAGTCAGAATAGATGGAGGGCTGTCGATTTAGAGCTGAAAAACCCAAAATTGCTTGAGTTTCCCAATTTTTTTTCTATTTTTTTTCTCTTCATTTTTGCTAGATATAACATGGCCCCACTCGAGAATGGCCAAGTTTGGACTGTGTGATTTTGAATCACTACTCATATTGATGTTACAGGCCACTGTATACAACCAAATTTTTATTAAATCTTCGTCTTGGGACCCAAAGAAAAAGAACACGAATATCTCAGATTGGAACTCTACCCTGAACTGCATTAAAGGAAAAATCAATTAAAGAACCACCAATGTTATCATATTCGCTTGCAAGGGCTCTTTATTTTGGATGAAAGGGAAATGCTTCTTAGGGGAAAATATTCGGTTCTACTGGATAAAAATAAAGTGAAAAACTACGTATAACTAGGAATTTTTTAGTTTTTATTAGGACTGGTATAATTTATAAAATTTTGAATATTATGGAGATACTTTTTCAAAATTTTGTATACTGAGGATTACTTTTACTATAATAAGTTTTTTTAAAAAATTGACCGATATATTCAACTTTATCTGGATAATATGGTTGAGGATTGGAGCTCAATAGGGCTGGCAATGCACTGGTAAAAGACTAGGTCCTAGGCCACAAAATGTGGACTAATGGTCAGGCCGGGGTTAGGCCATCGTTGACGGAGAACAGGGTCAGGCCAAGCCAGGTCTAGTCCAGGTCCGTGGTAGGGCCTGTCTAGTTCGGTCCGGCCTGAGCCTTTTTCTCCTATTGTTTTTCTCCCGTTTACGTTTATTAGACTTGGCTCGTCTTGGCCTTGCCTTGATAGGACCAGGGCCGGAAGGCAAGGCCGGTCTTGGGCTAGGATCTCTTTGGCCTTGTCAGGGCTGGGCTAGAACAAGGCTCAAGCCGGCCCTGTATGGACTAGGATTAGGCAAGGGCCACGACTAGCTGGCCCATTGCCATCCCTAGAGCTGAAGACTTTGGTTGTTTCGTTTAAAGGTGTCAAGAAAATCTTAACACCCTTTCAGCCCCTGAACAGTTCTCTGTGCCTGCATGCATTCTACAATCGTCCTTTATGGCTTCCAAAACATGAAACTCACTGGCTCAAGATTCTCACAACGGAGGGAACACAACATAACAAGAAGATTTTAAAGAAATTGTTTCTATTAGGGAGCACAAGGAGTAATACATTCAAATTTTTGAGCCTACTGAAATGCTCTTTTTCTTAGAAGAGGCTATGTAATTCAGGAGTAGGCTATAACATGGGGTAACTTGATGGTGGAATTCCCTCAAATGCTATGTAAGAGAAACACTTGTTGTATTCTGTCTGCATTGCATATGACCAGCCTAACTGTGTCTACTTTCTTTCATCTTATTACCTATTGTAGCTACACCTAACTTCTCTCACCTAACTTGAATATATTTATTTCGAATTCTATCTTTTCTTGTCTTGCCACTCATTTATCTCAATATCCATATCTCAGCTACATTCATCCTAGGGTTGTGGTGTTTCTTAACCGCTTAACATTCCACCACATAAAGCAAAGCTGGTATCACAAATGTCTTATTGGACCTCCGCTTCAACTTTATTGGTAGGCGATCACATAACTCCTACGCAGCTCTAATTCTATGTGACATATTCATTGCATACCTCTACTTCGTCCACCCAACTCTAATTCTATACGTGACGGGTTAAGAAAAAGTTTACGATCCTCACCCTTCTTAGATCAGGCCAAAAAATCCAAATATTAGCCCAAATTTGAGGGTACAACAGCTTTTGCTAGCATGGGTGTTACATTCCAAAGCATGATTCCGGTGAATTTGTAGGTGGAATAGTCATTTCTATGTACAAACTGATCTCAGAAGCCAAGGTCATGTTTTAGGGAGAACAATCAAGAGCGCCCATCTGGGTCCTGCCTTTTATGCTGCTTTGTTCCCATGGCTTTCACCTAGTGAGATGAAAGAGGCGATCAGAAGGTTCAAGGTACTTTCCAAGTGTCCATCACTTTCTTCTAATGAAAGATACAGAGTCAGGAGAGGTTATTGGAGAGAGGATTTGATATCATTTAGAAATGGTCAGTGAATTACGAGTGAGGGGATGAGAGATGAAGACTTGACGAGCTTTTAGATGGGTTGGAGGGCCAAATTCAGAAGAGAGAGTGGAATTTGTGTACTTTGGCTCATCATGTGGGGAGTTAGAGGATAGGGGTGGATAAGGAGAGAGGAGGGGTTGACGAGAGATGAGAGAGTTGGGAGGCAGAGGGGCTGTTTGTGTGTGGTGGGACCGCTGCCCTTGATGTGCACCCCACTATCACAATTCTGTCCCTTGCAAAGCTGTGTTTCTGATAACCTGGTGGAGCTTCTGCGAATCGAGAAGGAGGGTTGGTTCTTTGAAGCAGCTATGAAAAATACTTCTGATATGGAGATGAAGGGACTATGGTAGATCTCTCTCTCTCACACATTGTTGAGAGTGTAGTTAAGTTTGGTTTGGGTTTTAACAATTCGGCACCCTGTGTTCACTTCTTAATGAGTTGTGAATTTAGAAGTTGCAGAAACAGGAGCTCTTTGGCAAATAACACAATAAGTATGCAATAAAGTTTAAAAAATTATATGAACTCCTTTTCTTGAAAAATTAGTTTCCATTTTAACCAGATTTCTCTCTATGTATATTTGTTTGGCAGGATGCTCTGTGAGAGAGAGAGAGACAGAGAGAGAAGGAGAGAGAGAAAAGACCTTATTATTACCTATAATCATCAATATTACAAAAGAATATAAGAATTTAAACATTAATAATACAAACCCACCCATCAAAATAGTGGAGAACCCATATCAGAAGCATAGACATTAAGGATTCTTACTCTTTTCAAGCCATGGCTTGAACTCATTGAGTATTGGAACCAATGCTATAATTATGATGAACAGAAGAATGGAAATGGCAATGCATGTCCACTTGCGTGTGTTCCTTTGCTGCCGTTTGGCTTTGTGGATAACTGCAGTTGCAGTTTGCACATGATCCACTGCCCTTGAGACCTATGCCAAGCCAATAATCAAGAGAAAGATAGAAGGGGGTTCTTAATATGGTATTTCTTTTGTGTTTGCGAAAATTGGTTTGTTTGCAAACTAGGGGTCACACCTCTTGGAGCTAAAGCGACACTGTTGAAATCACACAAGTTTTATCTGTTCTGCACATTGTGAGAGAGAGAGAGGGGGAGAGAGAGAGATATTAAACCTGAGCTTCAATGTCGTCAACCATGTCACCTTGTGCCTCCACTAGAACTGCCATGTCCAAAAACATCTGACAACAACAAAGCATTCATTTCATACGTGAAACAAAAGAAACTCATTATCACCAGGAAAACCCTCCAACAAAGAAAATGAAGTGGATATTTTTTATACTTGGGACCTTGGTACCTGTTGTAAGTGAAGAAGCCTTTTATCTAACTCTCTAACTGCATCCTGTCGCTCTTGGATTTCGTCCAAAGTGTCCATTATCTGTGAAAATTTAGGCAATGAAATACTCAAAGTTACATTGACTTATGAATGCGATCTCTTTTGAGAGAGAGAGAGAGAGAGAGAGAGAGAGAGAGATGTACATACCATTCCCCGGCCTTGGTTATTAATTGCCTTCTGGAATATCTGCTCGACATGCCCCGTCTCTATCAAGTGATCAATTGTCTAGAAGTCAGAGTACCAAAATTAAACAACATATGAATCTAAAATTCAGCAATCAATGAGTATGACTGTCTTGCAAGCTTGAATGCATTCAAGGAAAAAAGATGGAGTTCATTTTCAATAAAACCAGTTATATCATCTCGCTCGCTCTCTCTCAAAACATGTAATATGCACTCACAAAAAACAACAGAGAGAGAGAGAGAGAGTCCACACAGAACCTTGAAAATGTTACATGACGCTTAAGATATTGATTTACCTCTTCGTCAGTCGAGGCTCCCGTCACTGCTCATATCAAATTGGAAAGAAACGAAAATAAAGCATCTGTTACAAACTCATTAACCGAAGAAATTAGCTGGCAGGATAAGTCAAATTTGGAGTTGTTTGGTATCATAGGTTTACCTGTGAATACTCTTCGCTCAACTACCTCTCGATACTCATCCTGGATTGTTTGCCTTAGAGTCTGGAAGTCGGTCATCTTATCCTTCAGCTTCTTTTTCAGTGCCCTGCATTTCAAGTTATGCATTGAAAACACAAATGAAAGAGAGAGAGAGAAATAAAGAGAGATAAAGAGAGAGAGATGATATTTCAGAAGTTGAGAAAGCAAATGATGAATCAATTGATGCATGGTTGTTTACAGCCAAATCCGAGAGAGTTTTGCCAAATTTGAGAGAGTTTCCAATGGAGAGACCTTTGTTGTGCCCGTGGATGTAGCCCTTCTAGGGTGAACCCGTAAATCGTAGTATTCTTGTGGTATGTATTTCATCATTTATTTCTTGTACTTTATTTACCAAAAATCAATCCATTGGGTTTAGAAGTTCTACGCACAACCAGTGGTATCAGATCTTGATTTGGGGTTTTTGTTATGGCAGTATGAAAAAATTTATTTGACAAAAGATAAAAAATCTATAAAACTATTAAATAGGTGTTGGCATGGTGAGCATGTGATTTTGATATCAAGGTGGAGATTGTTGGATTTGGTGCTATCCAAAATCATCCACATTAAGAAATCCCATATTATGTGGGATTGAGATCGATATTGACAAGTTTACTAAAGGAGATAGAAATCCAAAAAAGATTAGAACTCTTGGGTATATCTCTTGGTTTTGAGATATATGTAAGATCTATATGAAGTTTCCTATTTGGTGTAGATTCTTAAAATTATATATATGAGATGACAGTGCAGAGAATTTGTGTACCCTATTTCGGTCACTATGCCTCCTGTGCATAGGATGTAAGGTTTCCTCTTAGAGAGAAGAGAGCTTCTTATGGAGAGAAACATTGTGATGGTGCCTCTTGCAGAATGAAAAGGTGGTTTCTTGTAGAGAAACGCTTCTCATAGAGATTTTGTGTGGTTTCCCTTTCAGTGAGATAAAGTATCGTTTGCTCTCAAAGTCTCTTCTTAGATAGTAGTCTAGTAATAATCTCTTCCTAGACAATGGTCTAATTATAGTCTCTTCCTAGACAATGGTCTAGTTATAGTCTTTTCCTAGACAATGGTCTAATTATGAAATAGAGATGAGAGATTGACAATGGTGCTGTTTGGGAGAATGGTTTAAAAGGATTTGCTCAACTTGGGTTTTTTGCCGAGGTTTAGGACGTAAATATATGTCCCAAAATTTATGATATAACTTTCATTAGTATACTAGATTTATGTTTGCCATACCCTTGGATGTCTTTCTGGGGTGAACCACGTAAATCTTAGTATTCTTGTGGTATGTGTTTCATGCTTTATTTCTTGTACTTTATTTGCAAAAAATCATCCCATCGGGTTTAGAGCTTCTGCGCACAATAACCCTCTCTGATTTGGCTGTAAACAATGGTGTATAGATTTGGCTATAAACAATGGTGTATAGAATGAATTTGCCAAACGAAGGTGCTTGGTAATAGTTACATGGAATGGCCACCAAAATGTTAACAAGAAGCTGCACTAGAGAAAACAGAAATTACATTTATTCAGGTGCTTTTGCTAAATATGCATTCCATAAAAAAGAAATCAAGAGAAATAATTGATCAAAATCTATAGTAAGAGAAAACAAGCCTTTGGCTAGAAACAAGTTTCTCTAGAGAAGCATTGGCATCATTTCATTTCCTATATGAATGTGTCTTGAGTATATCCTAGAAGATTGGATTCAGACTTTCTTTACTTTGATTGTTTAAATATGAATTAAAGAAAACACCACCTTTTGAATATGAAGAAATTTCAACTCAAAACACAAGCGTGATAGAGAAGAAATGCATCACATAACTAAGCTTGCAGTTTATCAGATATTTCAAATGCACAAAGTAAAATTCTTCCCTTGTTATGAGAGGTTTGCCTTCATTTTTCTGGAAACTTTAAAAACTCATACTTTTTTTGTACCACTTAAAATAAAATGGACATTCTTTAATCAATGATGAAAACTGAGGGGGATAATGCCTTGTCTTACTAATGAAGGGAAAAGGAGATAAAACATAAAAGCAAGATAGATTCATATTAGATATAAAGGGGAAAAAGCTCAAGCCTTTAAACATGGATAATTAGCTAGCTTACACGGCCATGGACATTCTAGAACGATCAACACTCGTTCCCCTTCCACATCCTGGCTTCTGTCTGTTTTCCAAGTTCTGCATATCGATGCCCATGTATGGAGCAACAATGTTTCAATACATTAGAATTCATTCCAAAGATACAAATTGGTCATTTTCATGCTTGGACTGAAATGATATAAAGGAGGAAAATTAATTGAAAACAAAAGGAGAAATTAAACAAGAAAATAAAGAAACAAGAACCTTACGTCTCTATCAAGTCCTTCGAGATTAACTTTGGTGCTTCGAGCAATCCCTCCAACCTGATCCACATCCTTCTCCATTCTCTCTTTGATTTCTGAAATAAATGATAGCATATTCTTTAGTCATCCACCAGATAAAATAACTAGAATAGAAACAAAGCATGTTGTTTGTACTACATGAAACTACTGATGGTGGAGAAACATGTTTTTGCAAACAGAACATTGAAGTCTAATTCATCTAACCTTTCATGATTGAGGCTTTCAAAACAGATTTGGACTCCTCATTGGCATCCTGAATCATCAGAAAACTTTGAAAGTGATGAGAGAGGAAGCGCATATAAAGTATTGAAGTGGCAAAGGATCTAAGATGCAGTGATGCACACATACTTGAAGCTTTTGTAATAGACTTGATATTCTGTCGATTTGAATCTCGATCTCCCCAACCTGCTGAGCTAAAATGATTTAGTAAACATGGTTTGTGGAGACTTTTGAGGATGTAAATCTTGGTATTTTTTGGAAGCTCAAGAGGCCATGGAAACTCATGAATTTGCAGGCTCAAAGTAATCGTAAGCATCCCAATGTTTTCTCGTTTCTCTTAGTAAAATCTATGGAGAGAGATTGATGCAGGCTGCATATGCTCAATGCATAAGGTTCCTAGTTGTAGCCAGGCATAAGTCTAAAGTGTTATTTTGATTACAACGACATTATCAAACGAAGAAACAATTAGCCAACATGTAAGGCAATTCATTATCCTATATCAACCAGGCTGGAATATTGACCTCTATAATAGCAAGAGGCATCAGTCAGTGCATATAAGACATCAATAAAAACGTCTACAATGCTTAGGGTCAAAGCAGCCAGATATTTGAAACTTATATTAGGATGAGCGATTCTTGTAAATAGGCTTAAAGTAGTTTTGTTAATTAGCTTCTGATTAACGGAACACTAATCATTGTGGACTAAACGAAGTTGTTCCATGTCTAGCACAGTCTTCTTCTTAAACCCATGGAGAAAGGGATAAAGAAAGAAAATGTAAGAAATATGACCTTCTCAAAGAAGCCAACCATCCCAATCTCAGAGGCATCAGGAGAAAATCCATTTCCAAATTCTACGTCTCTCATTCTAGGACCTCTAGCCTTCTCAAAGGAGTCCTGCAGCCACAATACAAGGAAAATTATAGCAAAGTAATGCATTAAACAAATAGTTAAAACCTAAAAATGCAAAACTATATCTTATATTCTTATCCACACGTAGGGAAATCGAACTCAAATTCTACTAGATATTACCAGAAAACTGTAAGAGGCAGAAGTTGGGAGCAACAGTATCAAACGGTTGGTCTCATATTGGTCACAAAAAGAAAAGAAAGACAAAATCAATCACAGACTTATATGGAACTATCTTGAATAATCCTAAGTTTCTTATATACCAAAAAAAAGAACATGCCCATGATAGTGGGAAGATTAATGATATAAATGAATTATGTATTTCCCAATGTGCAGATGGAATGTCAAAATCACTATGTAATAGGGGATGGGTGTCTGTTGAAGGCTGACTCCTATCGATCCAAGTAAGAAATGATAATCAAAATAACAATAATATAAGGCAAATTCTTTCCAAATCTGTGCTCCATTTCACACGAAAATTCAATAATCAATAACATTTGGGGGTAAGGGAACAATAAAAAATAATGACAAATATATGATAAGTGAAACTTTATATCATAAATGAATTGGAAGTTCAGCCTCATTTCAGAGGGTTAATTCCACAGCTTTAAAATATTTCCATAGGAAAATGGTATTCCATCAAATCCCAATTCAACAAACGCACGCTCCCGCGCACAAAAAAGAAGAAGCAATTTTGCAAATGCATAAGTATTAAGTATTTCAGCTACATTACAACAGAAATCATTCACAAGAGCACATACAAAAAGGGAAGCTCAAGAAAGATAGGTAAAAAAAAAAAAGAGGTATTAAATCATGAATTCTAATATTCCAGAGAATTCAGACAAAAAATGAGAAATGCAAGACATTGGATCGCAGATGTTACCGTTAGGAGGTCGTTCATGTCGATTTATGGCCTGACGACTGATTTTAGATACGAATTACTCCAGAAATCAGATGGGTCTCTTTTTTTTCCTAGAAAAGAAATCACACGGGTCTCTCTCTCAAAAATCTAGTGCATCCCCTCTCTCTCTATCTATGTGGGGGCTTTTGGTGTTATTTCTCTTGCATTGCCAGAACAACTGATCTGGCAAAGAAAGTTGGAAAGCCCCTGAATTAACTGGTTCAAACTTCAAACTAAGTAATGCTATTTCTAACGATTATGAGTTTCTCTCTCTAAATTGTTATGAGTTTCTCTCTCTAACTTCTCTCTCTCAATTCAATGGAAGAAAAGAAAAGAGGAAATCTTGGCGGGTGTTAGTTTACATGCAACGGTCATCTTAACGTCCATTCCGAGTTTACTGGGAACAAACACATCATCATGAAAGTATGACCATGGTCCCGCCGGAGCAAAAAAAAAATGCTATTTGGCTTTTTTTTTTTTTTTGGAGCATTAAGTATTTTTTTTTTCATGTGAATGTTAATATTACCTATTTTAATTGCGATAAACGGCAGTTAGAATAGAATCAAGCTAACAAGCTCTCACTAATAACAAGATTTTATAGACTTACTCCGGACCTTGCTAATCCATCTGCCAGATATATATACGTACTTGAAAGAAACAACCAATGAATTACAAACGTCTATGATTCCCATCGATGAAGATCTTAACTTCCGAGGCGGCCTAAACTCCTTATCATACCAGTTAATTATATTTAGAGAATTCCTTTCAACTATACAATATACATATGTCGGCCTCTTCAAATCCAATTTAACCCCAGTAAAACAGTTGGTAATTCAGCTTGATTTGGGGAGACACATACACAAGGCCTTGCATGAGAGAGAATAACATGACCATGATAGTATCTCACTACCCCAAATCCTAGTGGTCCTGGATTCTCTAAAGATTTTCCATCAAAATTAAGGTAAACACAACCTCGTGCTGGTGATTCCCATCTTTTCTTTCAATCTCACGTTAATGACATTCTGATTGATCAAATTTCACGAATTAATCACCACATCTACCCTTGTTATAGCTTCCGGTTCTACAGGGGACCACGAAACTTGAGATATCTACTTTTATAGAAGATGCGGTTATCAAAACTATATCTTGAATATGCGGTTTTCAAAATTATATCTAAGTCAAATACCCCCTAAAGCTCTCACACAAGTCCTTCTCTCTCTAAAAGTACTACATTTAAAAGGAAAATTGTTTCCTGCAGGTTGGACCGCAAAACTGTATATACGGGCCAAAATGTATAACGCATCCATCGAGGTAAGTAAGTGTTCCATCTAAAAACAGTGGAAACATAACTGTATATACGGGCCAAAATGTATAACGCATCCATCGAGGTAAGTAAGTGTTCCATCTAAAAACAGTGGAAACTAACTGTTCAATTGTTTTTTTATTAGAATTATTATTTTTAGGTTTTAAAATTTATTTATTTTTTTATATTCATGATCTTCATGTTAGAAATTACATATCTTTAAAAATTAAGTAAAAAAATCTATCTAAAAAATAGATTTATTAATAGCTGTGCATTTTGACATATGCGGGCTTGGCCGCATAGAAACTGGGTCCTACTTAAAAAGCTGACTCTTTTTTTAAAAAAAAAACTTCCATTCCCTTTAAGATTTCTTTAAAGGTCAGAAGGAAACCTGGATGTTCCATGCGACAAACCAGGATTGCCAAGTTTTAAAGTACTAAATTATAGAAACAAAAGTTGTTATGGTTAATTAAGAAATCTCAAAATTTTAGCCAATTAAATGGCTTACAAGATGAAATATATATCTTTTTCTCTCTTAAAAAAAAAAGTAGAAAAGCGTGAGATGAAAGCACTTAATAAAGTCACTTTATCCCTAATTAAGTTTTCCTCACCTCTTCTCTGTCCAAAAATATTTTACACAGGAGAGTTCTTGTTCCTTTCTCTAGATATCCCACATTTACACTTGAGAGGTCGCACATTTACAGTGGAGAGCACTTGTTTCTCTCTCTAGAAGTCACACATTTACTGCATCGGAGAGGTCCTGTTTCTCTCTCTAGAAATCTCACACTCACAAAGGAGAGGTTCTGTTTCTCTTTTCTTTATCTCTTTAGTCACGCATCATTCTCTCTCTATCTTCCCATGGCTTGCACCCTGCAACTTCACTGCTCTCCCCCTCTCGTCCACAGGCCCAAGCTCCGCTCTCTCTCTGTCCACCAAATCCAGAACAAGTTTTTCTCGCTCTCCAAGTCCGCCTTTCGCACTGGTCGAGCCCATTGCTTTTCTGGCGACAGAGACGAGCAGCGATGGCTCAGAGAAGAGGAGCGGTGGCTCAGAGAAGAGCGCCGATGGCTCAGGGAAGAGGCTCGCTGGAATGCAGAGCGCCAAGCCCTAAAGCTCGAGATTGAGTCTCTGCAACTTCGGATTGAAACGCTGAATCAACAGCGGGTCTCTCAAGAAGCCTCCATTGCTGACCTTATCTCAAGCCTCACTGCTCTTTTGCAAACCCTAAAAGAGATGAATATCAAGTCTCTGAGTCGCTCGGGCCTGGTCGCCGGAAAAGCTGGAGTGGTAGCTGGAAAAACTGAGGCAGAAACCGGTATAGGTGATTTGGTGGTCGGAAAAGATGAGGTGGAGGAGATGAAGGAGACTGTGTATGAAGAAATCAGGGCATTGAAAGGGGAGGTTGAAATTAGGGCAAGCAAGAAGGAGAGGAGGTTGCTGAGAAAAGGGGCAGAAGGGGAGGACGTTAGAGACATGCAGGTTTGCTAGGATACCAAAGGCGAGTTTTTTTTGGTTCTCTTCTCATTGCATTTGATATTTCTAGAGAGAGAGAGGAGAAAAGAGAAAAAATAGGAAATAGTAAATACTAAATCACTGTCGTGCTTTTCTTTTATATTGTTTGCCTCTTAGGTAAAGCGGTTAAATATCATCGACCTGTTCTTGCACTTTGAACGTTTTTCCTTTTGTGACTTATGCCAAAAAATGGAGGTTGTATCAGATAATATATGATTATTTGAGTTTTTGTTTTCGTTTGTTCATTGAACATTGCAAGGATTCGGTTTATGGAAATTCAGTATTTGGCAGTCTGTTACTCAAATTATGAGTTTCTTTTGGGGTTGACATGGTAGAGGCAATGCAGGGCTGGGGTTTTTCTAATTGCATTTTTTAGGTTGGTTAATTATCAAAGTACACATTGATTTTGGTATCAGTTTTGCGTGAAGCCTTGTGGACATTGTAAAAGCAGTCATGGGTGGTCTATTATGTAAAATTATATGCTGATTTTGGGTTGGTGTGGCTTGAATCATGGCAAAGTTGGATTTTTTCTCAGGTGGTTTAGCAGGTAGAATTTTATGTTGAACTTTGGATTGAATATGTCAGGAAGCATTGGAAAATTTGCAAATTTTGGAATGCATACTTGGGATTTCATAATATCATATGTTGATTTTGTTCATGGTGGGTGGCAGGAAGCATTGCAAAGATTGGGTTTTTATTCAGGCGAGGAAGACATGGAGTACTCCAGCTTCTCTAGCGGGACTGAACGTGCTGTCAAAACTTGGCAAGTGAGTCCTTAAGTAATGACAATGATTATGACAGTGCTTGTATAGTAGAAATGCTTATAATTTGATAATTGTTCTTTTCCTTTTTCTTTTTTTTCTTTTTTGTTGTTGTTGGTTGTTCTTTATTTTTTATTATTCTTGTTTCCATATATCAAGGGAAAAATTATTCCATGGTTTTCCTTTTGTTTTTATCAAATTTATCAGATTGGATATTATCATAACACCGAAAAATGCTGTAAGGGTGTTAACCATTTCCTCAAAAAGAAGAAAAAAAAGAAAAATGATCTGAGTGTGAGCAATTGTGGTTTCACACAATTACGTATGTTGATCATTTTTTGAGAGTAGGAGGAACAGTGGACACCCCTTTGATTTATCGAACTTACAAAAATATTACCACATTTCTGAGTAATTGAAAAATAATAGGAATTCAGCAGGTTGAACCACTATGCACCTCCCTTATGCACCCTTTTGAAAAGCAAGCAAATAAATTCCTAAACCTTTATCACATTTCGATATTGTAAACTGTAATCCTGTGAGGTCCTATGTATATAGAAAACTGATTGGCCGGATATGGGTAACACTCTGTTATGGTGTCATTTCATTAAATTCAAGTGCATGGAAATTTTACAGTAGCTACATATGCCTTTGAATTCTAGATTCTTGAGACTTGAGGGAAGTTATGAAATTTGAACTTAGCTGTCAACGAGTAATGATGTGGTAATGCAATTGTAAATTGCTATTATCAACAGCTAGAGTCTCAATTTTGAATTTGTGATTTGTCTTTTGGATGTAAATTCAAGTGCTCTGTTTTTCTAGGCGACATTGGGCTCTAACGAAGATGGCATCATGACTGTTGAATTGCTGGAAATGTTATTTAGCAATCAAGAATTGATGGAAACTGGTGAACAAGAAAACTTAGATAGGACGGGAAGACAAGGCTCCTCAACTTGGGAGGTATGCTGCCATGTTCCCATTCTCTAATTGTTCAAACCAATAACGCCTGTCTATTGTTCACCTTGTTGGATACCATGTCAGACATGCTATGAAGCAATGAGTATTGGTTAAAATTTTTACAAATGTGAACAAAGCCTCTCTCTCTCTCTCTCTCTCTCTCTCTCTCTCTCTCTCTACTTCTCTTACTACTTACTACTTACTTACTTACTTACTTACTACTTACTACTTAC